AGAGTTTGATCGGCTCACCAGAGTCAAAGCGCCAACTGTAGTTAATTGGAATTGGCGTGCCGTGGCCCAACTGTCGGCCTAGGGCTGGTCGATTATTTTATTACTGTCTCAGCCATTTGGAGGATGTTTAGTAGGCAGTTAAGTTATGTGACCTCCTCGATTGTGGGGAGAGGGGGGCGGTTGAACCTCAGCCGTTATTCGGTCTACGGCGCTTTTACTGCCTCGGGTGAGTTCTGTCTATGCAGCTTTCCTGTGTTTTCATCCTGTACGTCAGGAAGCTTGACAATCGCTCTTCTGGGAACTGCCAACATCGGCCGGGGCAAATCAAAGACGTAACGGCTAACATTTAAGGCATCGTTTTCAGAGGCCAACTCCATCAAGAGGCTGTTTGAGTAACAGTAAGATAAGTCGAGGATGTTTTGAAACAAATACTGAAATATCTACTATATAAATTTCAGTAAGCGTAATTATGTCTATTCATTTAATTTGATGGAGAAATAGTTGCAGACGGCGTCCTTCTTCTTCAAAGCGCCTTGGGAACCCTGCTACCACATCGCCGCCAATTATTTCAATAGAAATAAGTAGTAGTCGCAGAACACATAACAACACATTCCTCAGCTCAGAGAGTTAGAAGTGGTAGACGGACTGCTTCAACTTAGCTACCGTTCAGCTACTTTTACCGGCAGCTTGTAAAGTCTTGCATCGTTATGCACACGAAGTTCAGAACAGGATAGACGGGCAAAACTTAAGAAAGCCGCACAAACACACCCTAGAACGAACCCACCCGAAAAAATGAAAGAGCCACCAGACCGAAGAATGGCAGAGGCTGAACCGCCGCCCCCTCACCAAAATTGAGGGAGTGATTTATATTGCATGTCCGTCAAAGGACCGATGCAGCGAACGACTAATCGATCAGCCTGAGGCCGACAAAGGGGCCACGGCACGCTACTTCCGACTCTGTTCTATCAGGTGTATTTTGCGCCTGGACATCACTGAGCCAACCAAGATCTTAGAGGCCCTAGCACCTGATTGCATCTGTTGATTAATTTGTGCAGAGATAAGCAAGGTAATCTTAGTGGTTGCATAGACTGGACGTGAAAGCAGCTATTGCGTCTCAGAAGGGGCATTACTTTGGTCATTTTTGAAGTTACTTGTTAGAGGAAGAAGCTGAATTTGTGAGGAGAGTATTTTCATTTGGGACAGGAAAAAGAACTTTGAAAGGGGTAAAACTGGGCTACAGAGAGTACTGAGAACATTGCAGTTTATCTTGGGATTGACAAGCAACATAGTTCAAATCGTCAACTGCCATTTCGGTGTCCACCTGACCGACCACCTTACTTTTCACTTCTGCATAAACCCTTCCGGTAAAACGCACTGAAGTCTGAAAAAAGAACGCATATATAAGTAAATTACAGTGCAGAAATAGTGCAAAAAATAGTTAAAATGGAAGTTGGGAGGGCAAAAGAGCAAGAAAACTATAATTGGCCAATCTAGGTCTAATCATCACGTCACACTTATAATGTGGACCAGTTGCTCAGTTAGCAAGTTTGGGTTAGACTGGAATATTTTCAAGAAAACGTCCAGGAACCGTAGTGCATATGTAGTAGCAGTTTTTATTGTCTATGTACTTGCATAGTCTTATTTTCCTTTGGACCTAAAATGGATCAGAAATTAACAGCACTTTAGGAACTTACCCATGATTCGATTCTCTAAAATGTAAATAAAGGATTCAGATTCAGCTCCAGGGGCGATTATTACTCCTTGTTGGTAATTAGTAGCATAATTTGAATCATTAATGGTAGTGAAATGTCATTTTTATGCGTTTATGGGTTTCCGCTGAATCTCATGAGACATTCACTGAAATTCATAAGTACACTACGGACTAGAAGGAAACGCACATATACGCCTGGAATACGAATGCACGTAGAAGGTAAAGGTAATTCCTATGGGTTCAATATACAAAAGTGTTTTCAGGAACAAAAGTGTACGCGAGTAACAGATGTGCTGCTCTTATTTTTCTGCACGCATTTTTGAAGAAAGTACTTTTTAATTGGAATTTACAAGAGTGCGCTTTTTTATATCCTTTTTCAAAAGTTTATGCTTTCGTAAGAAGTACTTACACAAAATAAGGAATACGCTTGCATGAAAGGTTCCAGAAAGTCAAGCAATCAAGATAAAAAGAAATTGCGCATATTTCCCTGTTTTTATTAATCCGACCTGTCAGGTATGTTTAATCTCAGGACCTATCTCTTAACACTTTACAGAAAAGAAGGACATGCAATCTACTGAACGGCAATATTATTACTCGGGCATTTTAAATTCCCACAGGATGCAATTTTTAGAGACTACGAACTAGCAGTCATAGAGGTCCAAAAACTCGAACTATACATTTACTGTCCCGTGAGAGCAAACGTATTTTATAATGTCATAATTATCTGATCAAACAATAAAGGACTGGCATTTGTAAAATGCGCTTATGTTCATGATTCCTTCTGAAAACTGAAAATATAAATAGTGAGTATTCAACGAGAACTATGTACCGTTCATGAGGGTTGCGGGATAAAGATTGATAGCCTCCTATCCTAGAACCTTTATAACCCTGCAGTTTTATTAAACTTTTAAGAGATATGTGAAATAAAGTACATGCCTTCGTAGGGAACGACACTACTGGTTTCTTTTTTATGGAGATGCTTATCGATCTCTTCTCGAGCGTACGATAATGTTTTTAATAAGGTTTTGGTACATACAAAACGGGATTAGTTGATGCAACATTGGGACTTACGCGTTAAGTGGAGGAGGTACTGGCAGCGGCTTGTGAAAATCAGCACTGTTTAGGAGCCAATACGAGGTTATGCCAAGTCCGCCCTCTAGCTCGACTGTACCTCGGTATTCCGTTATGAACCGGCCTGTTCTGTCAAGTATGTCCTTCAGGGGTTGACTTATGTGAATACGGAAAGCTATAATGCAGAAAAATGAGGCCCTCTTTGAAAGGTGAAATGGTTTTCATCTTTGACCAAACCCAGCGTAACATAGAGGAAATTATAAATTCGAGATAATACTAAATAGTAAAAAGGGACGAACGTTTTTTTCTGCCACACAAATGGGCTTACATTAAGATGTAAGTTGGAGCATGATGAACTGAGGAGTAGCGAAAAAATGAACTTTAATGCTGACTAGACGAAATCTCTACTCAGTAATGAGAATGAAACTTGTGAATTTCATTAATGAAGAAGAGCGCAAAAACGTGTAAAAAAAGTAAATGGTGTATTTGGTAGAGCCAAGCTTCGAGTCTAAATCTTATGCATCGATACTCTTTTAACAATAACTGCAGCTTCCAAAATATTCTTAAGCGTCTGTTAGTGCAAAGGGTGCCGTTATTTAAATAGTTAAGACTTTCGGCAAGGAGGACCTTTAGGGCTCTACTTTTAACCAAAAGTAGAAAGTAGTAAAATGCTAGATACAGCCACTAGTAACCTAACTAAATTGGCCCCTTTTTAACCCTACACAGGCAAGTTTTTTATGTTCTGTCACTGTGGTAACGACAGAATACTTCAAACAACAGCCCTACTGGGATTCAGTAAACCCAAAAAACAGTCTTTTCATTGAAGGATTCGATGACACAAGAGATCCTGAAGTCTTTAAGGGAAATAATAAAATATGACAGTAATCCAGAGGAAGGATCATTGGAACTAGAGCTTTACTGGCCTGACGTTTTGGATTCCCCCTCGAACCCATAATCAGAAACAGCCACAGAAAAGGGTACTTGGAGGCCACTTGGTAACTATTTAATTGCCCGAGGTCTTTAAGTTTATATATACTTATATACCTACTATATATAATTTAGTAGGCTTAGTTATGCTTACTACTGCCCCCCAAACTCGGAAATATTTAGCTTCCGGCGGTTACTATTAGTTTTTGTTTAGTTTTTAGTTCAGTTTAATACAGTACTCGCCGGTTATTAAGACCACGGTTAATAGGCTTAGCCGCTTATTAAGCCCAGTTTGGTCTGGGCCCGAGGTGGGCTTAATAACCGGCGACTACTGTAGTTTAATTTTAGTTATAGTTTAGATAGCTTATTCTTTGCTTCAATTTATTTTTTTAAGCGACACATGTTTGCTTTATTGGCTTATCGTACTACAGTATCCGTCTGAATGCATCAGAAACTATTTTGAGTTCTAAGAAAATGGGGGAAAATCCTATCTTCTACCTTTTCATTTTAATCTCTAAATTTCGATTTATTTCCAGGCCTATTTGCATTGACTTTTGTACAGTTCTTGTTACCTATTGATTACATTTGTTATTTTAATTATCGCGAGTAAATGTTCGGTTAGTTAAATAGGTGTTTCCTAAAATTTTCTGATTTTATACGTTCTGCTTTTTACTATATTTTTTCTTTCGTGTGATATGACCCAACCATAAAACCCTTTTTAACACCACTCCGGTAAGACAGTACCCGGGGGCTGGGGATAGCTAAGGACCTCGGCCAAATTTATAATTGTTGGCAACTTTTTCTGCAAATGTTTCTGATGTTGGGTTCGAGTGTAGCTCCGAAATGTCAGGATAGTATATCTCTTGTTTCAGTCATCATATCACCCTCTTCGCTTTTATTAACTCGATTAATTCAAAACCAAGTGTATACTATAAATGGTTGGAGCTTCATTTATCTATCAGAAATGTCCCTGGGCAAAGTATATACCCATCCGAGGACTGTTCCTGAAAAAGCATTAATGCGGCGAACAGTAAAAACCCAGCGAGAATC